TGGCCCAGTGCAGCCTGTTGTAATGTACTCCTTTCAATCAGTAATGGTTATGAAGTTATGCCAATGTCATGTCTTTTTTTTCATTTTTTTTGCAAAAACAGCTAAATGGTATAGCTGCAGCTATCTCCCGCTATAGCTGTGCTTAGCTGCTGAGAAGGTCAGCAGCTAAGAGGCTTAGCCGGCTATTTAAAACACCACAGTCCTCACCGGAAACGTAAACACCTCCGCCTCGACTTCCTTAATCCGGTGCACATCTCGCCGGTTGAGATGCCGCCAACGGCTTTGCTCGCCATGCTCCGCGCGTGCTTCGTCTGCCGCCATGGCATCTCGGTGAGCACAATCTCCCTTTCTGCTCTGCCTAAGCCGACACCACCACTGCCCGCCTCGTGCTGTGCCACACGTATTGCTCGCCACCACGTGTGACGCCGCCTCTGCAGCACACAGTCGTCGGCATCACGCCATGGCCGCCGCCATGGGCTCGCAGCTTGTGCCTGTGGCCATGCTGCTGCGGGCCGTTGCAGGGTAGACAGCGTGCGCTCCTACACACGGTCGCTCGCCCTAGTTCACAGCGGTGCCGCTCTAGCCAGCAGCCGCCACGCCGAATATGCCCGCGTCCACGCGTGGCTTTGGCCGTGTCGTGGCCAGCCACAGGTCCGCACGAGCTTTGCCATGGTCGTCGACAACGCCACTGTTGAGGCGGAGGGGCTCGTACATGCAGTCCATGTCGCACGCCCGTGACGAGCTCCATAGCTTCCGCTCCGGCCTGCGGTACGGTGGATGTGCGTCGACCACTCGGACGCCTCCAGCCCGGCGGTCTCCTGGCTCATCTTCGCCGCGCTCGCCATTGCCGTCCCTATCTCATATCCCGACATCATGGAGCTCGGAGAGGCGCGGGCATGGCGCACTCCACCGCATTCTCTGCTCTAGGTCCGATGGGAGCCAACTGCTTGGAGGAAAGGAAGAGGAATGCAGAGGCGAAGGCGACATGGCCAGGGTCGAGCGCGGCATGTACAACGCTTGGCAAGGCGCAGCAGAGGTGCGGTGGGCAGCGCGTGTCGCGCTCTGCGGCATTACGCCGAACAGGTGGCGTCCGTGACCTGGTGAGGACAGAACCCAGGTGCCTTATTGAGGATATTCCATTTAGATTTTAAGCGGTTAACTGCATATTTCCCCACCACGTGGCAATGCCACGTTAGATAAAAAGCCCGCGTGGCAAGTATGGATCTACGATGTATCATTTAACAAGTTTAAGTATCAAAAAATATAATTTTTAAGTTTATGGACATAAGTGACACACCGTGACAAGTCGAAGAGCCTCTCATGCATTTAACACTCTTTTTATCAGTCACGCAAGTTTTTTTTTCAGTACCACCACAGTAATACTGCTTGTGTAGTATATATCTCAGGACGCAGGCGATCTAGTGTAGCAGTATCAAAGCTGACAGCGACTAACAAGAACGAAAATGCTGGCGTGAATTCCTGTATAAAACACGGGTACTGGGCTACTGGCAAAACAGTCAGGAGAATGCTTCAATTGTTTTTTGTCCCGTTTTTTTATTATTATTAAAACGGTCAGAAGAATGCGTCAACTCTTTCCTGTTCCTGTTTTTATTACTAAGCTGTTCCTGGTGCGTCGGTTCTGTTTACCTGGTTCCATTCTGTATTCGGATTTTCCTGAGGAAACAGAATACGGGTGGGAAAATATGGATACATCGTTCGGAGAAGGATTTTAAGGTCCTGTTTTCATCCCTATCGATAAAGATGAGGATGGTGCTCCAAATGGGTATCCACGGATCTCTTCTAGTTCAACTAAAGAACTAATTAGATAATTCCTTCCCTTATTTTTGCATATATAGTTTATTAAGTTGGACTAGAGGAGATCCCATAGATCGTTTCACCCCTATCCTTACCTACCGACTCAAGTTCGTGGACCGGCGAAGGATTTTATATAATCTACCTGAAAACTGAAAGCAGAAAATACAATGGACAACTATATGATAGTCACAAATGAAAAAAAAAATCAAAGCATCCAAATAGGTCCTAAGGCCTGCTAGCTGCTCCAGGTAATATATGCGAACACAAGGTTGATACGTGTTCCTGTGGTTCGATTTTGTGACGAGTGATTGTCAACGAGCTGGCGCCTCAGATTGAGTTTGGTGACTAATCATGGCGTGAGTAGGGTGTGCAATATGTCTCTTGGCTTGTGATGTGTAGGCGTGGAGCTCGGAGGCGGTGGTCGACGGCGAAGGTGAAGGTCAAGCGGGTTTGTGCCGAGGGACCGGGAGCGGTGAAGGACGGACGCCGGAGGCTTGAACCGAGGGTCCGGAGAAGCCGGGTGATGACTAGCCGCGGTGGCTGACAGTGGCGAAGCTAGAGCAAATTGATGGGGGTGCCCTACTTAATCATAACTACAGTGAGACCCATATGATGTTCAAAGAAAATAACATACCTAATGCGCAACTGCCATATTTTAACATTAAACATTTAACAAAAAGAAGACCACATTGAGGACTTTAGCAAAATGTGTCATCCAGACCAGGATCAAGATCCCACTAGCCTAAAAGGAAAGAGAATAGATAGATCAATTATTTAGCACACACACTGTACAATTATCTATTAAAAGTAGATGTGTTCCATTACCTGCCAAAGATCATATTTACGCCCTTTTCATTCCATGGCCATGAAACTTCCAAACTCATCAAATCATTCCGGAATAAACTTCTCGGCTTGTCTCCAATATCTGAAACAATAAAATTACATTTGCAAGCGTAATCAAATTGCAGATCCGCTAATACATATAAAAAGAGTGAGAACCCCAGCTAATACTAACCCTAAACCAGTAAACCTGTAGGCTACAATTTCAATTTGAACACTATGAATCGGATGTGGTGCCTTGCCTTTGCTTTTGGACCAGAAGAGAGACAACTGGAGAGGTGTGAGGACGTGAGGGACTGAGGGTCGCTGGCGGGTTCTTCCGCCGGGCACCGCCTGCTAGTTGCATTGTCCGGTGCTCTGCTCGGCTACACGGCTACTCCCTGCGTAGAGCCGTAGAGATGGAAGGGGAAGGGACGTCAGCGTCGCCGCTCGCCGCCTCGCGCTCGCCGCGTCACTACAGGAAGACCGAGCATCAGTGATAAAATGTGGTGGCGAAATCTTAATTTGTCACTGATTCCCATGTTATTAGTGACCAAACTAATTTTCATCACTATTGCGTCGATTATTAGTGGCAAACTACTATATCGCCACAGGATGCACCTTCAGTGGCGAATTTAGTGATGAAACATTAATTTGTCACTAATAAATAGGTTAATTGTGACTAAATATTTATTTCCTCAGAGTTTTGCCATCTACCGGTGACAAAATATTATATCACCACACGGTTCAAGGTCAGTGAGAAAATGTTGTGGCAAAATTATATTTTGCCACTATTTACCATCTTAATTGTGACTAAACAATTTCCCCCCACTATTAGTACGTTAATCTGTGACAAAATTTTGCTTCGCCACATGGTAGCTGATGACTGAGAAATTTTTGTGGCAAAATATTCTTTTGTCACTTGTTACCAAGTTAATTGTGAGAAAATAAATTTTCTTGTTATATAATATTTATATTAGTGATAAAAACATGTGTTCCGTATGATAAATAATTAGTGGCAAATATTGTATTATCATGGGTCCCACTTGTCAGTCAAACTCCACCTTATCTTCTTCTTTTTTTTTGAAACAATATCTTCTTCCGTTTTCTACAGCTGCAATTACTAGACGGAGCATCTCCGGCCGCCCCCAAGCTTGGAGCTCCGCCAAGCGCCGACGAGCTCGCCCATAGTCGCCGGCCGTCGATGCCCTTGCCCATGGCTGCACCGAAGCTCACACTTGCAGCGCTTAGCAAGCTCTCCCACGGCCGCAGCCGCCTATCTCGACGAGTGTCTCCGGCCGCCCCCAGCTCGATGCTTCTGCTCCGCGCCGACGAGCTCGCCCATGGTCTCCGGCCATCCCCGCTCCCACCTGGATCCACCGAATCTCGCCTCGCACTCGACGAGCTCGCCCACGGACGCAGCCGCCAATCTCGATGAGCTCGCAAAAGGTCGGATTCGCTGCGTCCCTGGCCGTGGTCATCTGCGCACGAGGAAGACGCCGAGCCGCTTGCTCGCGCTGTACTGTGAGCCGGGTACGGTCATCTTGTGGGCGTCAACACGGGCAGCCCGCTCAGGCGTGTGGCGGGCGGCCGCGTTTGGCGGGCGGTCGTAGCTCGGGTGTGTCCGTAGTGGAGCACTGGAGCTTCAGGGCCGCCTGTGTAGCTAGTGGCTCGTGTGGCCAGGGGCCTAACACGGCGGCTCATCCGAGGTCATAGGATTGGATAGTAAGCACTGTTGCTCTCCAGTTTAGATTATTTGATCAATTCACCATATTTGCCTATTCGATTCTCTGGAGTTTGAATGTAGGCTAGACGCTCAATTGCCAAATGCCTTAGTGATGTTTCAGTGGCATTGATTGGGCACTTGAACCTTGGTCATTGCATACGGGAAATGCCTTAGTTATGTTTAGTTACATAATACTAGTATATTGTGTTGTAATTCTATAATTGAAGTACAAATTAGACCTCTATTATCTTAGGTTTTAGTGACTTTATGTACCAGTTAATTTGGTTGTGGAAACAAAAAGACACAAGTTTGTCTTGTAGGGATCCAGAACGGAAGTAAAATTAGTGAGAACGAACAAAAGCAAGCGCAAATCCGGATGGCCATAGTAATACGTGAATTGACAATTTGTGGATGAATAGCTTGTTTATAATGAATATATATCATATTACCAGGGCTTGGAAAACTGATGAGTATTAGGAAATAAAACATAGCTGAAAAAGCCAGAGTGACCATGATATCCTAAATGCTTATTTGTTTGACACTACTGTGTAGTGTTTGTAAAGCAAGTGACCAAGGAGATGAAGCTGCATCTCATATATATATTCCCTATAGAAATTTCAGCATGATTATCAGTTATTTGCTAGTCATCATCTATTTCTTCTTCTGATTCACTGTCTTCGTCATCTGAATCCATGTACTCACCACCTTCGCTGTCATCACTTTCAGATTCTTGTTGCTCATCTTCATCCTCAACGTCACCCTCGTAATGGAGTATCGGATTACCTTCCACAGCCACAGACATACCTTCAGCTTCTGCTTCAACTTGAGGTGTGTCCAATATACTTGTGTCATCATCTTCTATTGTATTTGGATTCGGCACAGTTATTACTTCATTTTCTTGGCAAGCTTCAGGACTGGATTTACTTGATTTAGTAGTGGCATCTTCTTCATCTGTGGGAGGAGTGTCAAAATAATCACGAGGTTTAGTCTTTACCATGACATACCATTTTGGATCTTGAGTATCATTCACATAATATACTTGCTCTGCTTGCGAAGCCAAAACATATGGCTCATCTGTTGACAGCCTGCGAGTAGTATTTATCATTATGAACCCATACTTATCTTCTTTAACTCCCCTTGTTGTATGTACATCCCACCATTCACATTTAAAAAGAACAACCTTATGAGTCCCATATAAAAGCTCCACAATATCTGTCAAGACACCAAAGTAATCTTTGTTTCCAGTTCCTTCATCGCCCTTGACAAATACTCCACTGTTTTGTGCTTGAAATAGGGCGTCTCTGTCCCTTGTGTTAAATCTCCATCCATTGACCATATAACTTGAGAAATGTGTCACTCTAGTATCGGGTCCTCTTGCTAGATCAAACAATTCATCAGAAACAGAAGGATCTCCTTTGGAATACATAGTTGATATCTACATGAAGCACAGTAGTTAATTAAGCTACCCTAAAGAAATAATGTAATAAATACATCCTTATACTTACATGGTTCTTGAACCACTGAAAGAACTCTTTCTCATGCCGCTTGTCTACATTTTTGGTGCTCTGTGTCCTTAAATATTCCTTGTGAATGCTGTGACATAGGAGAATAGATGTTACAAAATTGGAGGCCCACAGTTCAATGAACATCTTAGGAGTGGCTTACCCTGTATATGGAGAAGCCTCTTCACAGTTCTTTAGAACGTAGGCTTGTGCTTTGTTCAATTCATTCATCTCCATCTCACAATATCTATTCCCAATAAGCCATCTTCCAATTTTGGCAAAAAACTGGAGCTGTGTGTTGCTATTGTTATCACCACTATCATCATTACGGCTTGGCCTGTTGATTCTTGTCTCAATTCCATGCAAGTACATAGAACAAAGAGTCACACATTCCTGTAACACTACAGCCTCAGCAATTGCTCCCTCTGGACGAGCTTTGTTTTTTACAAATGACTTTAGTCTGCGCAAGAATCTCTCGATGGGATACATCCATCGATATTGCACAGGACCACCTACCATTGCTTGTTGAGCTAAATGGATTGGTAGATGCATCATTACATCAAACATGGATGGAGGAAATATCTTTTCTAATTTGCAAAGAGTAATAGCAATTGAAGAATCAAGCCTTTTAAGGATCTCCACATCTAACACTTTTGAGCAAATTTCTCGAAAAAAGTTCCATAGCTCAATTATTGGAAGACAAATATCAGCCGGAAGCATGCCGCGAATAGATAGTGGAAGGTATCTATGCAGAAACACATGGTAATCATGGCACTTCATCCCTGATATTTTAACATTTATTGCATCTACATAATTAGATACCTTTGCAGAATAACCATCTGGGACTTTGATTTTTGTCAAGAACTCACAAAATGCTTTCCTTTTAGGTCCAAAAAGTGTATAAGGTGCATTGTGAAATAAAAATTTTCCATCATCTGTGGGAGTCGCATGAAGTTTTGGTTGTATTCCCATGATTTCCATATCAAATCAAGAATTAATGTTATCCTTTGTCTTCCCCTCCTGTCCAAGCAAGGTACCCGCCAAACTTTCACCAACATTCTTTTCAATGTGCATGACATCTAGGTTATGTCTTAGTGTCAATTTGCTCCAATAAGGGAGTTGAAAAAATATACTCTTTTTCTTCCAAACACCATACACTGTGCTGGAACGTTTCCTTTTCTTGTCAGATTTCCCAAATATAACCTGAATGGCAGCATAATGATAGCAATGTTACACCTTTGAAATTACATCAAAATATCATAACTCGTATCATATTTATTTACAAAAAGAAAGCTGCATAGACTTAAATCTTTTTGTATGTGTACCTGAGTAAACTTTTCGTATTGTGAAAGAACTTCAGCGCCTGATAATGGTTTTGGAGCACATCTCCTTTCCCTTTGGCCATTAAAAGAAGTAGTATTGTTCCTCCAACTATGTCTTGCTGGTAGGAATCTCCTGTGTCCCATGTAGCAACCTTTTCTTCCATTGGCTAGCCATTGGTAGCAAGTGTCGGTATGACAGGATGGACATGCATGTTTTCCCTTTGTGGACATTCCTGATAAATTCCCTAAAGCAGGAAAATCATTAATTGTCCAGAGCAATGCAGCTTTTAGTGTGAATTTACGCTTCGTCGAAGCATCATAGGCCTCCACCCCACAACTCAATCAGCTAATCAATTAATGGCTGTAGATATACATCAATGTCGTTGCCAGGTGCTTTAGGGCCAGGAATGAGCATTGAAGTTATCATATAAGGATCTTTCATGCACATCCAAGGAGGTAGGTTATACATCACAATAACAACGGGCCATATGCTGTATGATGTGCTCATATGTCCAAAAGGATTGAATCCGTCACTAGCAAGCCCAAGCCTAACACTGCGCGCATCTGATGCAAATGATGGGAAATTTTTGTCAAAATCCTTCCATTCCTTTGAATCTGCCGGGTGTCTCAAATATCCATCATCAACTAGCTCCTCTTTGTGCCAACGCATATTAGTTGCAGTTTTGGAACACATATACATCCTTTTCAATCTTGGTATCAATGGGAAATAGCGCAGCACCTTCTGTGCAACCTTTCGAACTCTTCGCCTTCGTGATTTGGATGCATTGTTCTGGTCATCACTTTTCCACCTAGAAAGCTTGCACACTGGACATGACTCAGCTTTAGCATAATCACCTCTGTACAGAATGCAATCATTTGGGCATGCGTCTATACGCTTGTAATCCAATCCCAAATCTGACATGACTTTCTTAGCATCGTTGAATGACTTTGGAGCCTTATTCTTGGTAGGAAGTACCTTCCAAAACAGAGTAAATAGAGCATCCATTGCATTTCCACTCAAATCATATAGGCACTTGATGTTCATCATTTGCACAATGAACAATAGTGTAGAGAAGGTACTGCATTCTGGGTACAGCTCATTGTCTGCCTCTTCAAGAAGTCTATAAAATTTGCTAGCTTCTTCAGTAGGACCTGTAGATGCGGTCGTGTCATCCTGCAAGCAAGGTGATGAACCATCAAATGATCCCAAGTTGTTATTCACAGCATTTCCAAAATCATTCACCATCTCACGCAGACCATAGTCATCATGATCTTCCATGTTGTCGTCACTGTCTTCTGAATCCGACACACTCTCTCCATGATGATCCAATACTCTGTACTCTTTCCATATTCCATTCAGCATGAGATGCTCCATTATAGATATCTGATCAGCAAAGTAATTGTTTTTGCAGATTCTACAAGGACATCGAAGGAGCTTGTCCGCACTGCAGCCAGAAAAAGCAAACTCAATAAATTTTTTAGCTCCTTCTTCGTATCGGGGAAGCCTCCTATTGGATATGTCCATCCAACTTTTGTCCACAACCATCCTATCATTGAGGAATGAATTGTTTACAAAACTACAGTTTGTCAAGTTATTGCATTAAGAAGAATCTTCCATTTTTTTCTTGAATACGCAGTATCATTGCATTAAGTAGAATCTTCCATTTTATAATTCCTGGATGTTAGTATCTAGATTATTTTGATATTGCATTTTCCTACCTACAGGTTTGTGAGTCTTATTACATCTCTTGTTTGATGTTTTTAATATTGTTGTTTATGAACCAGGTATCAGACAATGCGCCATTATATGGTGTTTGTTTTCATGTTCAGGAAATAGTTCAAAAGGCACCTGGTATACTAGGTGCAGTTTCACCCTTAAACCCTAATTCCTATAAGCCAAGTCGTTTCTTGGTTTCTGCACCACGTTGTTACTGTCTACTTACAAAGGTACCTTTTTTTGAGCTACACTATGAGATGCTAAACAGGTTCGTTTTCAGATCTAACATATATTTATATATTTTGATCCAAGATTTCATCAATTCAGTTCTAAGGATATGGTGGTGTGTCTATTCTATGAACAGCATTATTGCACAGGAGAGGCTTGACAGGATAACGCAGTTTGCAAGTGAAATTGCTCTGCCTGAGCCAGTTCCTCGTCCTGTGAATGAACAAGATGGAGTAGACGGTGATTTTGATTCCTCAAATGGGATTCCATACATTGACTGGACAGAATATGCTGTACCTGTCAACAGTATATCAGGTCTCATTTCTTCATCAAGTGTTCCATCAGAAAGGGACATGTCTTCATTTTTGTTCAGGAGCTGGGAGCCTAATTCTTCCCAGAGTATATTTGCTAGTGAGATTTCAGATTCTAGTTATGTAAGAGAAGTTGAGAAGGAGGCAAGGCATAGTTTCCAGCATTATGAAGACTGTATATCAGGGAACTTGGAAGCACGTTGTGATAGCTTTGGGAGAGCAAGTTACATATATGACAATGGGAATACTTCCCCAGATCTTCTGTCCATGCATTCTCCTGCCTCTAGAAGATTTAAGCGCGCACAAAGCGTGGAGTGTTTATCTTTAGAAAGGTGAACCTTTGAATAATGACACATCTTGTATGACAGTTCAGTCAAAGGTGCCGCATCAGATGAAGAATATGAAGTAAATGTGAAGCATGAAGTGATTGTTGATGATGAAAAGTTATAGGATGGGCTAAGGTTTGCCTGACATATTCATGCTTCACAAATACCATCAGATGGCTCTGATTCTAACTGATCATAGACATGATGGTTTTTTAGGCACACAATAATGAACCTCTACAGATTGTTTGTGGTTACCATGCTCTTCCTCTGCCACCTCGTGGTGGTGAACTTGTATTCCTGCATCTGGCTGCTTCAAGAACAAACACGTGTACGGTCTTGAAAGGGGAGAGGCTTCAGATGGAAACAGGAATGATAGTGCGGACAACTTGTATTTTGATCAAAAGTATTACCTGACGGCAGAGGTGTTGGACATCAGCATCTTAGCTCTGCACCAGTGGATCGGTGACAAGAAGCAAATGGATCAACGGGCGGCGGCCATAGCAGTTTGGGGGCTGTTTAGGGTTTAAGTGGTAGCCATTGAGTATTGAGTTCAGATTCGTGGGCTACCTGATCTGGGTCCAAAAATGTAGGAGGTTTTCTCTCTATTTTCTTTTTCTTTCTATTTTTGTGGTGAACATTAATGCCGATGAATATGGCAGGCAGCCAGGTTACTTGTTAAGGACTTGATTTTGTATTTTACAAAGATTTAATAATTAATAAAGCACCATAATTTGCTTTATTAGTCATCGAAATATGAGTTAGTTATTTGCAAACAAAATGTTTGCCAAAACAAAACTAATATGGTTTGAATGTTGATATTTGGCATGATATTATGAGTAGAAAACTATGATATTCTATATTATTTTTTATAAATATTTAATCTATGATCTAAATAATCATTTGTTTATGATTTTTATATATTTAATTATTAGTTTAACACTTTATTTGTTATATACTCATACTTTAATCCTAACTTGTTTAATGATATTTGTTATATACGCATACACGCACACTCGTCCAAATTAATCACCAGACTAGAATAAATTCAGAAAAATAGGAGCAACTACATCTTGACTAACACGGCTGGCCAGGTTCCACCATAAGAACCTAAACAGATGAGTCTCAATTCAACTTGTTTGGTTTGGTCCCCAACTCTTATATATGCAAGCTCTAGTTAACAATTTTTGACATGTTTGGTTGCCCTGTTGGGCTCATTAGACAGGCTTCTTGAAGCCACCGACCACCTGTTAGTCAGACCAGCCAGGAACGAGGTGGGCGGCCGTTTTCGTGAAGCTAGGCCCGAGCTAGCCCTTTTATCCGCTCGCCTCACCTCCCGCTACAAGATAAAGCAACCAACAAAAACATAACATTTCTTATACTGACTAAGCTAGGTCATGCAACCAAACAAGTTCATCTTGTATTGTTGAAGCCAGGCTTGAGCTAACCAGACTTAATTGGCTAACCGAACACACCCATATTGAATATCTTTGACTGACCCCCTCTATGTATAATTTCTAGCCACATATGTCTTTTTATTTGCTGAAATTTAGTTATATGGCATTCAAAGAACCTTATTTTCTTTGGAAAATACCATGGAAGGACCATTTAGAGAAAACTAATTGTCAAGTGATGTGTCTTATTCGAAGAGATTTGAAGTCGAATTTTATTCTATCTAAAAAATAACAAAAATATTTTTCCAATAAACACACATTAAAATAAATTTGGTATTAAAAATTATAATTTCTAGTAGAAATATTATGGACCTTGTTTATATTTTTTCACATTATATATCTAGTAGAAATATTATTGGCCTTGTTTATCGTTTTTTTCAAACCGAGCGCACTCTTTTCCTCTTAATAATTATAATTGGTGAAAAATTGTTCCCTCCAAATATCCATTCACCTTTCCCTCCAATTAATCCGTGAATTTTTTTTTTACTCCCGCCATATTGCATTGGACATCAAGTATATATATATACATACATGGAGTCCTTTCCATCATCTACAGATCTACCAAACAATCAAAGCCAACTGACGGAGAGAAACAGGCGACCACAAAGGTGCACTGTGTACTACTACTAGTATTTTTTTTTTGCCAAGTCTTCCTCCATCCGGCCAGCATCGTCATTATTAGCCCCCTTACTCCTATCCTCTGTCAAAGCCAAGGCCATGTATCGCGCACGCCCAGATGCCTCCGGCCACCCCACGGATCCATGATGCCGATGTGGAAAATCCACCACCGTGATCCGTCGTTGCGGCCTCCGATCCAGTTCGTCGTGGCCGCCACCGCCACCGCCACCACGACCGCCGTGCCCGCGGCCAGTGCCGCCATCGCCACGGCCACGGCAAGAATATGCGATACCCCACGGATCCATGATGCCGATGCGGAAAATCCCCGGCCTCCGATCCAGTTTGTCGTGGCCACCGCCGCCACCACGGCCGCCATGCCCGCGGCCAGTGCCGCCATCGCCACGGCCACGGCCACCGTCGCCGCGGCGGCCACCGCCACGGCCGCCGCCACTGCGGCTTGCACAACTGCCATCGTCGCCGCCTCCGCCATCTCTACACCGCAATAAGATGCGATACCTCCAATTCCATACTGATATCTTGATTTTGATCTATGAATATGCATCACATCCATACCATATTTGTACTGGACACCAACCTATGACACCCATGCCTCCAGCCCAGTCCAACTTTATATTTCTCAAATTATTTTTTGACAGATTGTTTCAATCCTTTGTATATGTCTCAAATTATTTTTTTCGTCAGATTGTTTCTTTTGGTAAAATATCCATTAATTTGATGGCTATGTTTCTCCATCAATTCCATTGTTGTTTCGCAGGGAAAATGGCTCCACGGGTGCCTCAACGAACAATTGCTGAAATGGATACAAAATTTGATGAGCTTGCCTCTGCTTTATCCAAAGATCCAAGGGACCAATTGACCTCTGGTATAGGTTTGTTTTATACATTCAGCACCACCAAATATTTCTTTGCGTAAAAATTCTGATGTATTGTAGCATGTTGCATCAAAGGAAATTAGGAAAGCTACAATTTTCTGCAGCCTCATTTGTAATATAATGTTTCTATATTGGTTCTAGTGTATAAGAAAACTTACATGATCTTTTGTTAAGTTCATATGATGTGTCTTCTAGTTATCAGCAACTCGACTTATTAGTACTGATAGCGATTCCATTAATAATCTCCATAAGAACATGCAAGTTCTTGACTTCTTGTTTAATTGAATGCACCATTACTTGTTCATAGATCTGAACGAGAGCTACTATGAACAAACACATGGGGTTTGTGTCCATGCCGATGTCAAAAATCCTAGTTATATTACTTGCAACTGTGTTCACTTGCATTACTTCGTGTGCTGATGGTACAATAAAAGATAGCCATTTCTGTTGTATTTAGTTATGTAAAATTTACAAAATGCCTATTTTTGTTTCTACAGGTGAAATAACAACCAGGTTACGTTCACGTGGCTCTCGAACTGACAATGAATGTGATCAATTTGATTCAGATGTGGCAATGGATGAAAATAATCAAATAAATGCTGCAACACACAACACTGAAGGTGTTTTGCTAATCTGAAACCTGCTTCTTTACACCATTGTTTATTTCGCTGATTTAGCTAGGTACTGTTATGTTGATCTACATTTATTTCTTTATACGACATAATAACAAGTGCTACATTTAGCATGTCACAACATGTTATACTAATCTAAAATTTGATTCTTGACACTATAGAGTACAAACATTACATTTAATTACCCTTGTTCTTTTCCATAAATTAACTAGGCCTTGCTAAGAGTGGAAGCAAACTTACAATTAACAATCAACTTCGCAAGAGAAGAGCAAAAGGAAAGCATATTGATATAAAGTTCCCTAAAGAGTTTGCAAAAGTGTGTGGAGAACATGCTAGTTTATTTAAAAGTGAGATAACAGTTCTTGTAAGAACTGTACCACTCCAAGTGAAGAAGTGGAGGGACATGGATAAGTTTCATCCTGGTACTACTACATCTATTTGGAGAAAACTAAAGGTGACCTACTTTTCATATGAAATGAATATATTTGGCATGCATAGGTTATCATTGCATTCAGTGGCCCGTTATTACAATATATCTTTGTTGTACAGCAAAAGTTTCCTGAGCTTTCAGAAGAAGAGAAAGATTGTGCCATGAGACAAGTAGAGAGTCAATATAATAATCGGCGTTACCGTCTACTTCAAGCTTACCGAAACAACAAGCCAAGGCCACAACATGTCTCACCAGAAGGTTGGCAATGGTTGATAAGGAATTTGTGGACGGATGATGATTTTCAGGTACATACAACTCATGTCCTAAATTACAGTGCTGCATAATTGTTAATGATACATTTATGCAATTTGTAAACTAGAAAAGGAGCAACCAAAACTCTATCAACAGAGGAAAGCAAGAGATGGGGTCCAAAGTAGGAACTAGATCAATTGCTCAAATCGCTTACGATCTGGTGAGGAAAATAGTTACTAGGCAGATTTTTTCTATTACACATCGTTCTGAATTAGTGAATATATGCTTTTGTTATTCTAATGCAGCGAGACCCAGAAACTGGTGAATGGCCTACTGCTATGCAAGTTTGGAAGGCTACATATCAAAAGGCTGATGGGACATGGTCCATTCCAATGGGTGAAGAAATAATGGTATGACCATATTACTTCCCTTTCTGATGGCATCTTTGGGTTTCACATTTGTCAATCTGTATCCTACCTTTTGAACTAGGATTAGGTGGAAGTGGTGTGTTTTTTGTATGAAAAAAATATGGTAGTAGAATTATGTATGACTCTTTCATGGTTATTATCTCTGCAATATAGTCTTTGTATTGTTCATTTAATGAGTTGAAAAGTCTAGGCACTACGAAAAGTTTGCAGTATCTCTAATCATGAACAATATCGTTTTATTGAGCTGTTTGTAAATTTCATATATTATTTAATTTGTCTGCAATTTTCAATTATTAGATAACATGTTTGTAGATTTTTTTGAACAGTAGCAACTCTGAGAACATTTGGATGTTACACTATCCTATAGCTAATTTGTGCTCATACCTATGATTCATTACATGAACGCTTTTGCCTGCTGTGTAGTATATGGGTTCTTAATTAGTTTGTTTTTTTCATGCTTTGTAGACCAAACTACATGAAGCTGCTGGGATACATCAAGAAAATATTTCTTCTGCGCCCGTGCCAATAGTGGAGCACTTCGCACTAGTTCTTGGTTGAAAGCCAAACCATTCACGTGGTGTTGACATTCGAGCTGTAAACCGAGTGGCTGAGGAAAGAATCAGATTGCAGGTGCAAATTGAGGCTTCAGAACAGCGTGAAGCTGCAGCTCGAGCACGTGCAGATGCTGCTGAGCAACATGCTGAGGCTGCTGAGCAACGAGCACAAGCTTTGGAAGGCGAAGTTTCCACGGTGGTCGAAACAAATGCACAACAGCAAGAAGAGCAGCAATCCCAACGTGATGAGATGAGTTCTTTGCGTCAAGCACAGAGTGGAGAAGTTGCTCGCCTAGTGAGAGAACAACTTGATCATCAAATGGCTGCATTAATTGCACGCATTGGTGCCTCACAGCCTCCAGCATCTTAGAGTTTAAACACTTAGTTGAATAATTATTGTGAGACTTTAAAGTAGTGTCAAGAGAGTTATTTTGAGGTTTGAGTGTTCTTAGTTTTATGTAATGCTTGAATGCCAAATTTGAATTATTGAAATAAATATTATTGGTGCAGATTTGAAATAATCATATTGCTATAATGTACATTTGTTGAGCTATTTTTGTCACTACAACAAGGATAATAATGATAACTAGGTCGCCACAACATCTAATGTGTTTCACACAATTGAAACTTATCTTGTGACAAAACTTGTCCAGACTAATATTTTCCTACAAATGCTATGTTTTTTTGTGATGAAACTATTGATACATTTTGTCTTGTCAGTTCTCACAAAAAGGTAATTTTTTGTGACAAAGGTTTGCCGCCGTAGTTTACATGTGAGGATTAGTTTGCATCACAAATGAAAAGTATTTGTGTTAACAAGTTACCACTTTTTCCCATACATATTGTGGTAAACAATTAGACACAATTATAATTTAATAGTGAGAACAAGCATCGACACGACAAACTCAAGTAATGGCGAAACTTCTATCACTAATATGTAGTCTTTAGTGACCACAAAATTTGTCACTTTTACAATGGTAATTGTGACAATTATATTGCCATAGATTCTGTATAGTTGTGGCAACTAATATCACCACTAAAAACATTATGAGTGGCATCATTTTTTGCCACTAATGCATATGTTTTTGTGACAACGAATGAGCCACAAATGGTCCCGTTACTAGTGGCAGTACAATTTGTCACTAATGAGTATGGTCATTTGTGGGGAACAAAAATTCATCACTAGAGTATCTGTGAGGCGAGTATTTGTGGCGACTAGTGGCGATTTAAAAATTCGCCACAAAGGCTGGTTTGTGGCGAAAAAATAAGCTTTTGTGATGAAAATTTTCGCCACAAAAACCCTTTGCCCTTGTGGTGATTGCCATCGCCATCGGCGTTCAGGCAAAAAAACGCGTACTCACGGGCTTGGGCAACTGGGCCTCAATCTCTCCAGTCTCCAAGGTGATGCTTGCTGGCCAGACTGGCTTGGTGGGGGTGCCTCGTTTTGGACCAGGAGGGTGCACAAACAGTGAAATGTTGATAGTAATAATGTATTTGTGTTTTTGGCCTGGGTGCCTAGGCACTTGGTGGGCTTAACTGGGCTTCGCCCCCAGTGGCTGACATATGGGGACATCAACAAGTGCAAGTGTACATGGGAATTGACCGTGTTGACCGAGTTAAGACGGTGGCCGGGCGAGTCAGACGGAGACTCTGGAAGACTTGGCAGCCGGATGGTAGAGAACGGCGGTGACATGTGTCGAGGTGCGGGGGGCGCATATTGAGTACGGTACTCGCGGGCAGGTTGGTGGTTTGGGCCTCAAAACCAATGGTTGATGGTTTCCGGGTTTGGGCCTCAAAACCCGGACAGAGGTTCCGAGGAGGAACAGGGGCGGCACGTAGTGGAATTACAGTGGTTACGTCAAGGCGAAGCAAATCTAGGAAGCGTGGCCATCCGATCGACAGAAAAAGAGTTGGACCATTACTCCCTCGGATCAAGTGGTTCGGCTCAAAATATCTAGGGACAAAATTAGAACTGTGTAATAGCCCTAAGAAATATTGATGAAGGTGCCCCAATCGCCCTTACCTCTCCTCATTTTCATTTTTCTTTTTTACCTTGTTTTTCCCTCCCCTAGTATTCTTGAGAGAGGTCCACAACTGAAATTCATGGTTGTGTTTACTGAGATTTTTGTGAGAATGGAGGCCTTAAACTCTCACGTTCTTATGGGATTCAAGAGCTGTGCTTGATTTCTTTTTCGGATTTTTGGGGATTTTTCGTGTTCTTGGCTACGATCTGAATTTCTCAGAGTTTGGGTCAATCCCAGGCGATGATTTCCTAGGGATAGGTTTGTAGCTAGTTGAATTCCTTCTGAGCAAAGTATGGGAACAAATCTTGATGATTTGAGTCGGATGTCGTTGGGTTTGTTTTGGTGCCGCCCTCTTCTGTTCTTCCCCCTCTGCTGGTTCTGTTCGTTGCGCACAGTTTGGGCGGACCGATGAAGGGGCCGGAGGCCACCGGTGCAGGCGCGCCTGCAGCCGTGTACGCCGTGCGCCCCCAGGCCTGAGCCGTAGCTCTCCATCGCCTTTGCTGCCGCGTCATTCGAGCTGGTCCTGTGCCGTGGGTTCTGTTCTTCCCGTCGCTCTTCCCTGTCTGTAGGGGTGAAAATGGTACGGATATTTTTCGACCATATTCGAGACCGAATCTGTTTAGAGGGGTTTTGATCCGTCCGTATTCGAGTCCGGATATTCAACATCCGACACCGTATCCATATCCGAATACTCAAATCGCATATTTATGATGTCGATATCTAATTGTATCATATCCGGCATCGTTGACACTATCCATATTCGAATCGGAATCCGGACAGAAATATGAAAATAAATGTAATACCGGTGATATCCGTCCGTATTCGATCCGTTTTCATCCCTGCCTCTCTGTGTCGAGCGCTCCTAGCCGAGCGCTTGCCCGTGGGACCAGGTGCCCCTTCCGCCAGGCAAGCCGGCGCTCGATTTCCCGGTCTCCCAGCGCGTGAGCAATCCCTGCCTGCGGTCTCTCTCCCTCTCTGCCTGTTCCGTCTCTGTGTGGCACCAGGCTGTCAGGTGTATCATCGGCTCGGTCCCAGGTCCCCGACCCAGAGAGCGCCGCTCCCGAGCGTGTACGGCAAAGAAAGACCGGTGCTCCCCTGCTTGCGTTGCGTTGTGAAGCCTGGAATTTCCGGCCTGAGCCCTTGCAATTTCCGGTCTCTATTTCGCAAGCTCGGTATTTTGTCTGCGGTTTGTGCGACTGAGCTTCAATTTGCATTCCGTCTTTTGCGCTAGTTTTTCATCGATCCAAAGAAACTATCTAGGTACTCTCGTCACTGGTTGGCTTGAGTATTTTAAATTTGGGAAACTTGCTTCTTCTCTATAGGAGTTGAGTATCTCCTTTTCAGTCCTTTGGTTTGGGAAGTGATCCGTTTGCTTTGTGGTGTCCCACCGTGTTCCTACAGAACATCTATCCTCTTTTTTGGGTCGTGGACATCATGGTGTTTGGCGGTGATTTTAGGACAACGGCTGAATATTTTGAAAGAAATTTGAAGCTCCCATTCACCCCTCGTCTGGTCGTCGTTTTCAGACCTTCAGTATATAAACAAATGGAACCCAAAGGCACAACTGGGAAAAGAAAGTAAAGATCGTAGCAAACTTCAGCCAACAGTTGGTACCTAAGGAATGACATGAGCAGCACATAGTGGACCCAGATTTGAACTGGTAGCTCGGACATAGATGGCAAGCAGTATTATTGTGATTCCAAGCCATTACATGCTGAACCAAATGCAGTAGTGTTTATGTTTGCATATATAGTTTCTTGATCCCGGTACTATCGGGTTTACAGGATCAAATGAACAAATACTAGTTCCAATGGTCACATGCATCACGTTTGGACGACATGATTTATTTATTTGTAAATTAAATAAAATTAGAAGAAGGGAAAAGGGTACCTCATTAGGCGAATATATGCATGAGCCCTAATTCGACAAGTGTTCCAGGCCACGCACGCCATAACCATAAACCAGTGCCGGATCGACATGATTTTGTGACAAGAAAAGGGATACAACAAATAACACACTCCCTCCGTACACAAAAGAATGTAACTATAGAATCCGTGCCGGTCAACTTTACTCAACTTTGATCAAATTTATAGTAAATAGTATTAGCATTTATGTCTTCAAATAAATTCATGATAAAAATATATTCTATAATTAATTTAATGATACTTATTTTTTATATAAAAAATGTTAGTACTTTTTAATATAACTTCAGTCAAAATTTAAATTGGTTGACTCCTCGATAAGTGAGAACTACATTCTTCTGCGGACAGAGAGAGGGAGTAGTATATAATTTGGCGAAGTCTAGTACTGTGGTGGGCATATCCGATCCTGATCATTGAACACGAGGGAGACAGCTTTTAGTGCATCGTCTGCGCTCGTGAATCCCATCGACTCTAGCGTGCTGTTTGGAGGCCATCCTTGGTAGGCGTGATCCCTCCAGTCCAGTAGTGCTCTTGACATTTCTAGTCAATTCATCAGTATGTAATTGTTCAATTGAATCGGTGAGTTCCTGTGGCATAATCGCTCAAAATAACACATCTTCGGAGGCGCTCGTCTTCCACCAGACACTAAGCATTCTGAAAGCAAGCTATGGGCCTGTTCGGCACGACTGAAAAATACTGTTCCGGCTGATTGTTGTGAGAGGAAAATACTGTTCTGGCAGGACGTGAACAGTGCCCCGCTGAGTGGCCTGGCCAGCCCCAGCCAGCCGAATAAGCCAGCCGAACAAGCTCTATATCGGACGGATTCCATCGAGCACACCCCAAGGGAGAACTCGAATAATCCATGTTTTTCCTCCAGTATCCAATAATGAGAACGAGTTTACAATACTTAGTCTAATTCATACAACAAGAGTTCTTAAAAAATACATTATTACAGTACTAAGTTCAGAGTGCGGAATTTAAATAGCGGAATTACAATAAACATCTAACGGTAGAATACAAGGATCCGTCTATGCCCACCAGAAGAATACTCTACACAACAGCTACTCTTCAAGTTGCACCTGCAACAGGGGTGAATAAACCCTGAGTACACAATGTACTCGCAAGACTTACCCGACTAGTGGGAATAATTTTTCGACTCCAAATGATATGATAAGTTTTATGGTTTGCTAGGTTTCCTTTTTGCAAAAAGCAATACTAGTAGTGAAGCCTTATGTATGTTTCTTATTAGCAGTCATGATTAGTTCATTATCTAACCATTCTAGGAAAGCACATGTTCTACTTTCAAGCAAGAGTTGAGCAAACAGATCCATTTCACCATCTTTCATCTTTCAGTTCTTACTACGGTGCAAGATCGTAGACAAGTCGTACCGGATTACCCGGCGATTCGCGAATCAATGTGCCCC